TCCTTCCATGGGGATGATCTCGAAGATCTCCCAAAGACTTGGGACGAAGAAGAGGGTCTTAAGTAAGCTGAAGGAAAAAGAGGACTCCCCCCAAGCCGGGAAAAAACCGAGAAGAGGGTCTCAAGCAAATTGGGAGATGGGATTTCCCAAGAAAAACCTGCAAAGGGTATCTTTTCAAGCTGGGGTGAAGAAAGAATGTCTAGGTAAAAAAAAAAAAAAGGGGGGAAAAAAAGAAGGTTTTGCAATAGGTTTTTTAAAAAAGGTTTTTTTTTAAAACCAAAAATAGTTCCAAAACCTGGGCGAGGTTTTTTTTAAAGGAAAAAAGTTGAAAATTAATTAAAAATTTTTGGGATGTTTGGAAAATTTTTTAAAAAATTTTCCTTTTTTTTGGGGGGGGCGTCCTTAAAATTTTATTGGTTTAACATTTTTTTTTTTTTATTATTTGTTTTTTTTTTATTTTTTTAATTTTAAAAATTTTTTTTGGGGGGATTTTTTTTATTTTTTTTTTTGTGTTTGTATTTTTTATTTTTTTTTTTTATTGGGTTTTTTTGGGGGGGTTTTTGGGTTAGGGGGTTTTTCTTTTTTTGGGGGGGGTTTTGGGGGTGGGGGGGCGTTTTTAAAGGGGGGGTTTTTTTTTTCCCGGGGATTTTTTAAAATTTCCTTTTTTTTTTATTTTTTTTTTTTTTTTTATTTTTTTTTAAAATTTAAAAAAAAAGGGGTTTTTTTTTTTTTTTTTTTTCTTTTTTTTTTTTTTTGGGTTTTTTTGGGGTTTTTTAAAATTATAAATTTTTTTCTTCTTGTCTATTTTTTTCCCTTTTTTTTTTTTTTTTTTTTATTTTTATAATCCATTTTTTTTCTTTTTATTATCTTTAAATTAACTTTATTTTATATTTTTTTATTTCTATACCTTTATTTATATTATTTTTTTTTTTTATTTTTCTTTAAAAAAAAAATTTTTTTTAACTTTTATAATTTTTTATTATCCCCTTTTTTTTTAAAATTTTTATTTTTAAAATTCTTTTAATTAAATTTTAAATTTTTTTTATTTCGAAATTTAATTATCGGGGTTTATTTTTTCCCTTATATAATATTAAGGCCCCTATAATTTTTTTTATTACATTTTTTTTAAAATTTTAAAATTTATAATTTTTTATTTAAAAAATTAAATTTCTATAATTTGGAATTTTTTTAAAATGTTGGGAATGAGGGATGATGTGAGGGTTTTGTTGGTGGAGGATGTGATGATATAATGGGGATGCTTCTAAAATGATGTGGGGTTTGTGTTGGGGATGTGAGATGATAATGATGGTAAAGGGCTTTGTGCGGGCCTGGTTTGATGCGGGGATGTTGCGGGTGTAATGGGGATGAAAAGGGATGATGAGGGATTGTTGAGGGTGTGATGATAATGTGCTGTTTGATGGTGATGATGTTGAGGGTTTGAGGGTGTGAGTTTTGAGGGGGATGTTTTAATGGTGGGGGAGGGATGGGAGGGAAAGGGTGATGTGTTTTGGGTTTTGATGAAAATTTTGATGATGTTAATGAGGGGATGAGGGAATAATGAGGGATAAAGGAATGGGGTGTTTGATGATGGGGGAATGATGATGATGATAAATTATGATGTTTGACAATTGATGTGAATTGATGTGATGTTTGGAAAAAATTGAGGGTGATGAGATGGGAGGGTGAAATGGGGGTGGATGTTCCCCCCCCTTGCTTAAAATGATGATGCGGATAATAAATAAAGATAATGATGTGAGGGCTTTTTAAAATGCTCTTTGGATAAGGGGATGATAATGATCCTTGGAAGTGATGTTTTGGGGGATGATGTTTCTGCCTGAGGGGCTGATGGGGGTGCTGATGTGAGATGTTGATTTTGCGGGATGATGTCCGGGCCGGGACGCTTCTGCTGTTTTTGTGGGGCTGATGTGATTTGTTTGTGTTGGGGAGCTGGTTTGTTGGGGTGTGTTGGGGTTGAGGGGTGATGTGATGAATCTGATGCGGGCCGGGGATAAGGGCTGAGGGGTTAATGATGTTGAGGGGTTTGAGGGTAAGGGATGCCCTGCCCCATGATGAATGATGATGCTAAGGGTTATAAAATATCCCGAAACTGTCCTGCTGATAAGTGTTTACAATGTAATGGTGTTTCACCACTCTATGTGTGATATGGGTTGAATGATGATGTGTGATGTGAGATGAGAAGGGTGAAATTGCATGATGAGATGGTGCTTGAGCTGTGATATGGAGATAAATTTGAGGGATGCATGATGTGAATAATGGGGCTGGATGATACATGCGGGGATCCTGAAAATGATGATGGATATGACATAAATGATCTCTGGGTTGTGTAATGGGGAAAATTGGGGGTTCTGCACTTTGTGGGGGTTGGATTAAATGTTTATAAAATGATGATGGGCTGATGACTGAGGGTGCCCTGCTGATGAGGGTTGATAACCCCTTTGCTAATGCAAATGATGATTGATGTTTTGGGATTTGATGTAATGCTGGCGGGGATTGTGAGGTTGATGCGCTGTTTGATGAGCCCCAATGTTTGGGATATTGTTTGATCAATGATAAAACTGATGCTGAACATGAGATGCGGGAAATGAGGGTGGTTTGGATGGGGGATGCGGGGTTTGATAAAATTGCTGAAATATTATGATAATGTTAATTGATGTCGGTCTGTTGCTAATGGTCTTGTGCCCCTTTGTCCTGAAAATTGGATGCTTGAACTGCGGGGGGGCCGGGTGAAAAAGGTTGTTTTGTGATGTGCTGTTTGTAATACTCATGATATTTTGGGTTATGGAGATAATGTTTGGGGGGATGATGCGGGGATGAAAATGATGAGGGTTGATAATGATGAATAAATGTGTGTGAAAAGGGGATAAATGATAATGATGCTTGTTTGATAATGTCCGAAGGATGTTGTTGAAGGGTGATAAATTGAGGGTGTTTGGATAAATGATGATGATGATAAAGGGATGAATAATGTAATGTGAAAGGGATGTTTGTGAGTCCATGAGGGTGAGGATGGTGATGACTGCTGATAAATGATAATGTGATGAATGTGTTTGAATGATGCTAAAGGAAATGATGCAATTTTTGGGGAGGGTATGATCCTGCTGTGATAAGTGTTTTTGTGATGATAATGTGCAAAACGTTGAGGACCCTTGATAAAGGGATGATAAAGATGTGATAATGGGGGATATTGGTGATGTTTGTAAGGGGTGATGATGAGATGATTGATTGCTAAAATTCCCCCCTCCCTTGTGAAAGGGACTGTCCATGATGCTGATTGAATGCTGCAACATTGTTGCCATAAGGGATTGATGAATGAGGGATGGTGGAAAATGGGGCTGAAGATGATGGGGTGTTGATGTGGGGAATTTGGAAAATTGATGATGATGTAGTGATGATGGATAAGTGCATAATAAAAAAAGGGATGGATGATGATAATGATAAAGGATGCTGTGATGCTGATAATGTGCTGAGGGGGATCATGCTGCCCCTGGTGAGGGGATCGGAATGGAGGGATTGATGATTATGAGGGGAAAATGTGGGGGTTGCTGAATGTGATAAAGATGGCTGTTGATGATGATCCCCTCCCTGAGGAAGATGTAAGGGTGATGTTTAATGCATGATACGGGTTTAAAATGGAAGTTTTTATCTGTGAATGCTGATAAACCATGGGTCGATCCCAGCAGCTGATGATGTGGGTGAACGGGCTGTTTGTTTGGTGGATAATGAGATGATAATGATTTGGCAAAAGGGGATAAAAGATGATGATTCCCTGAAAAATGGTGGGGCATGTGTGTTTGGTTATGTGGGGAAAACTGTGATGATGTCTGTCCTACGGTTTTGGAGGGCACCCCCCCCACCCTTTTGAAGTGATGTGAGATATAATTTGGGGATGTTATTGAGGAGGAGTTCTGATATTTTTTCACTCTTTCTAATCTATATTTTTTATATCATTTTTTCAAATCTTCTATACTTCTTTTTTTTTCTATAATTTATAATCATTTTAAAAATATATTTTCCCCTTTTCTCCCCGGGGGGGGTTACTATCCTAAAAATTCTACCCTCCCCTTTATCTTTCCTATAACTCTTTCTTCCCTATAATTTTTTAAAAATTTTATAACCTCTATCTCCTCTCTCCTTATCATCCACTCTATCTTCCTCCTACTCTCTTTATCATTTTTCATTTTCACCTTCTTCACCCACCATCATCAAAAACCAAAATCATCATTCTTTACATCACCATCATCATCACCCCCCCTCACCTTCTTCTTCATCACCATAAATTCTTTTTAAACCCCCATCACCATCATCTCCATCATCATCACCCTTTCACCCCCACCATCAATTTTCTTTCCCCTTCAATCATAAAATCATTCTTTAAAACATCACCCCAATCATCATTTTCCTCACCATTTTTCTTTCATCTTTTCCAATCATCATCACTTCACCCAATATCTCATCATCAACTTTCTCCCATACCCCATCAATCACCATCAAATCTTTCCCCCATCATCATCATCCCCATCACCCATCATTTTCATAATCATCTTCCATCATCCCCACCATAATCACCATCACCCCTTTTATCACCCCATCATCATCACCATCATCACCCATCTTCATCGCCCTCATTCCCCCCCCCCAAAATAAATTCTTTAAATTTCATCATCATATCATCCCCATCTCCCATCATCATTTTTAAACCATCATCATCATCATCATTCATTTTCATCGGCATCACCATCACATCACCTTTTCATCACCTCTTCATCTTTCATCATCTTCCCATCTCTTCATCACCATCATCCCATCTTTCATTTCACCATCATCATCTTTCATCATCATCTTCATCATCGTCTTCCCCATCATCATCCCCATCATCTTCCCTTTCATAAATCACCATCATCCCATCATATTTCCCCATCATCACCCTCATCATCCCTCATCATCAATTTAACCTAAAATTCATCATCATATCACCCTCATCACATCATCTCATCCCACCCACCATCATCTTTATCTTTCATCTTCATATCAACTGGGGGTAAAATACAGAAATATTCAGAGATAAGTTTTTAATTATAAAACTATTGTTTCGTTTTTAAAATATTACATCATAATAAAAACCCGGGGGAATAACAAACTTTAAAGTATTTTCTAGGAATTTTTCCCAAGCGTTCATAAATGCCCCGAAGAACACTTTCTCAACCTTTGGTGGGGAGAACAAGTTTATGTATTTATATTTATATTATTTTATATTTTATATAATATTTTATAATAAAAAAAATATATATTTATATTTATATATATAGGTATTGTGAAGGTTTGGGAGAACTTCTTTTTACTAAAAATTTTTTTTTTTACCCCAAAACCCAAAAAATATAGTTTGAAAACAGCCAAATAAACTTTTATTTTAAACAATGCTGAATTATAGGGTAATTATTTTTTTGAAAATTTTTTTTTAATTGAGCATTTTTTAAATACTCATTTGTATATATATATATATATATATTATATATATATATATATTTTATATTACATATCAGTAACAACACTGCGACTAGCCAAGGATTCGAACCCAAGTTGTTTTGGCTCTCCTCGTTGTGAGCGAGAACCACATGACGCTCTAACCCACAGGACCACAAAATCCTACAAGAATGACGCACCCAGCAGAGCTAGGTGTTTTACCGTCATCCTAGGACATATGGTGGTATGAGTGCCTCTGAGCTAATTCTCCTCCACATTTGGTGTACTAGCCTCAACAAGCTCACCATGAGGCGGGCCAAAACTATATGGGTTCGAATCCTTGGCTAATTAGTGTTTATATTTATCAATACCACTCGTTATGGTAAGTAATGTAACCACAGTGAAAGGTATTTCAAATCCAAGTGCTGTCGGCATCTGTCAGCCAGAGAGAGAGAGAGAGAGAGGAGAGAGAGAGAGAGAGAGAGAGAGAGAGGAGAGAGAGAGAGAGAGAGAGAGATGCATCTTAGACTTGAGATAGCTCTATTATGGAGATATAATTATAGAATAATGAATATAACGGGAGAAACAGTATTGTTTCCTGACTAATAAAACACCAGTTTCCTCAAGGTTCACGTCGGCTTCCTCAAGGTTCACGTCAGCTTCCTCAAGGTTCACGTCAGCTTCCTCAAGGTCCAGTCTGACGTAAGATCTGCCTCAGTATTTTCTTGCTGTCTTCAACTCCGCCAGAAACTACCTGGTAATTTCCAGGTCATTCAACTTTGAGACAAAATCCCCCAATATGTTAATTCTGTATTACGAGACGTCGTGTAACGTTTCGCACACATGTGACCAACGTTTCGCACACATCTGACCAACGTTTCGCACACACCTAACCAACGTTTCTGTACTCGTACATTTCATGTCAATTATTAACAATTCTCGTGTGACAGTTTCCTGGCGAATACAACGCCTCCTCCTCCACCTCAATTAGAAGAAAGTTACGTTCAAATTCAATGTCAAAATAATTGCCTCCCAAGAAACATCAAATATATTTGTTTTCTCCTCACTGAATCACAAAATTTTCACCCAATAAAAATATATAAAATATATAATATATTTATATATTATATATATATATAATTTTATATTAAAAAATATATATAATATATATATTTTTAATATATATATACATATTAATGTAATTTGTTAAAAAACCTTTTTCCCCTAAAATATAATCGATAATGGAAACCTATTTTTTTTGTTAAATTTCTTCATGAATGTAATTTAATTTTTTCTTGACTTATATTAATGTTATTTTTTTTATTATTGAAAAAAATTATTATTATTGCTTTCGTAATAACTTTTTTTGTAAAAAATGCAGGGGAAGAGGGGGTTTTACATTTAACAGTAAGACATTTAAAATTTTTAAATAAGCCCCAAGCTCTAATGCTCCCACCACAAACGCCAAAATTATTTTATATATATATATATTTATATAAAATTAAATATATATAAAATATATATTTAAATATATAATTTTTTATATTATATATATATATATATATTAAAAATTATATATATATATTTTATATACATTTATATAAAAATTGTATATAAAATTTTTTTTATATATTTTTTATATATATATTTAAAATTTTTTATATATAAAAATTTTAAAATATTATTAATATAAAATATAATATTATTGGGAAAAAAGTCACGGGGGGGAGGAGTTTTTCCCCTTAAAGTACTTTAACCATTTGTCAGATTTTAATCAGCGGAGCTTTGAAAATGTTGCAAGGGAGAAACCCAAAGGGCAGGGAGAGGGGTTCAGAAAAACGTATTTGCCCACCTTTCCATGGTTATTTCTTAGACGGGGTTTAGTGGCCGGTGCCAACCCCCCAAACCATTTTTCCCTTTTTTTTCCCTCGGGGGGTTTGGACGGTTTTCTGAGATGTCAAGTTTGAAAATTTTAAGATATAAAAAAGCCAGCCCAAATTTTTTTTTCTAATCGTTTAAAACAGGGGGGGCCTTTTTTTTAATGTTTTATAATTTCATATTTTGAAAATCTCAGAAACCCTCCTTTCCCCCGGGAGAGTAGGGGGATTTAAAAGTGTGGGGGTTGGGGACCGCCATAACCCCGTCTAAGGGTAACCGTGGACGGTGACCCCCTACGTTACTCTGAGAACCCCTCTTTCCCCTTTGGTTTTCCCCCCTTGGCCCAAAATTGCCAGCTTGTTTACGCAAATGAGAAGTGTGAAGGTACTTTATATATATATATATATATATTATATAAAATATATATATACATTCATATATACACACACACCACATTATAAAATATATAAAAATTATATATATATATATTAAAATTTTATATATTTTATATATATATATATAAATATAACGGCAGAAAATTCCGGGGAACCCTGATTCGGCCCCGCAGATACAATTAGGGGAGTGCTGTTTCCCCCCAGTGGGTAAATTTTTTTTACAGTTTGGGGGAGAAATAACTTTGTTTTTTGTTTTCGGGCTTATGAGTGTTCCTCCCGGTTTTTTTTAAGTGGGCCTTTTTTACGAAAGCCTCTGGGGATGGCACGCCCTTGGAGTAATTTCTGTAGACGTAGATTACGGGAGGGGGAAAATGGAGGGAGAGCGGTAGCTGCCCCTAGAGACGCGGTAGATGCGGCCCACGGTGAAGACGCCGGGAAGTAAAATGAAAGGGGATTAATCGTCTGAACGACTTGGGGGAGGCAGTAGAAGTAGAAAGCCGCCCTGGGGAAACAGTAGCAGAAACCAAGGAAACAGAGTAGCAGAGCAGCAGCCCCCAGCAGCTGCAGCAGCAGCGCAGCAGCAGAGCAGGAACTGCCCCGAGTAAGGAACCTCTCCAGCAAAGCATCTGTGGCAGATGTCTCCCCTGGCAAGTGGGCCCCCCGGGGGATGCCTTTACATCCCTGCCCCGGGGGGGGAGGGTCCGGGGGGGGGGGGGGGGGGGGGGGGGGGGGGGGGGGGGGGGGGGGGGGGGGGGGGGGGGGGGGTGGGGGGGGGGGGGGGGGGGGGGGGGGGGGGGGGGAAAAGGGGGGGGGGGGGGGGGGGGGAAAGGGGGGGGGGGGCCCGGGGGGGGGGGGGGGGGGGGGGGGGGGGGGGGATTAAAACTTCCCCCTTTTAAAAGAAAAATTTAAAACTAAAAACCTTCCTTTTCATAACCCCAACCCCCCGGGCCCCACCTGGGCCTGGTGTGGGGGGGTTGGGGGGGCTATCATTGGTTAATAAGGGGTTTTGGGGGGGTTGGGGGGTCATTACCATGGGATAGGAAAAGAAACCCCATTTCCCCCTTTCCTAATCTTTCTTTCCCCCTTAAACCCCTAGAAAATCCTTTTTTGGGTTTTTAAACCCTTAAAAAAGAGAACTATTATTTCTAACATTTAATGGGGGAAAAATTTTATTTTATTACTTCGGTTTTTCTATTGGGTTGGAAGAAAGGGATAGATGTTATAAGGATAAAAGGAAAAAATTAATTCCTTTTATATGTTTAAAAAATAAATTTAAAATGGAATAAAAACTAAATTATTAATAAAAATTTTACTAAACCCTTTGGGGTAAAAATTTAATTTAATTATTAATTGAAAAAAATTTTTTTAAACCACTAAAAAAAACCAACCAAAAAAAAAACACACACCCAAAAACACACCACACACACACACAACACAAACACACACCAAAAACACAAAACACCCACAAACCACACACACCCCACCAAAACACACACACACACACACACACACACACACATACACATACACACACACACACACACATACACATACACACACACACACACACACACACACATACACATACACATACACACACACACATACACACACACACACACATCTCACATGGAAGATCTTATCAACATGGTCCTTGGCAGAGTGGTCCTCGACCAGAGGCTCGGTGGCTCGACCCATCATTTGGTATATGGCAGTCACAACATCAACCATCTCAGACTTGGTGATGAGACCGTCGTTATTAACGTCATACAGACCGAAGATCCACTGTAGCTTCTCTTGTGTGGAACCTCGGGACACAGTTGACAGAGCTCCCAGGAAGTCCTGTGGAAATTGACGGAATCAGTCGAACACAGAAAGAATTTCATTCGGCTAATGGTACTTTTAAGCTCCTTTTCTTCAAGGGGGATTGAAGTGTGTTATTGTGGGAAGTTAATTATATTTGAGTAGTTGAATTACGTAATTGTGTTAAATGTATTTTTATTATGAAGTCAAATTATGTTTATATCTCTTGCCCACTAACACAACAACCTAAATACACCCTATATGTATAAATATATATATATATAATATATTATATATATATATATATATATATATATATATATATATATATATATATATATATATATATATATATTATGTATATACATATATATATATATATATATATATATATATATATATATATATATATATAATATATATATATATATATATATATATATATATATATATATATCACCTCTATAATTGGATTGGGGAGCCTCATCCTCAGAGAAGACAATAAACGTACCTCAGGGAAAGCTCAAGGTTCTCCCCCGGAGCTGTTTGAATATTTTCTTCTCCTACCATCCCCTATATTTTATATTCTATGGGAAAATTTATTAATAGACAGAATACATTTACAGGAAACACAAACATGAATACAATGGTACAGTATATCAAAGATTATGAATCTTCTCCAGTTCCTCCGAGGTTGAAAGATACTGACTATTGCTACATTGTGTCATGTGACGTCAACCTTTAACTATTACCCTGATTCTAAACATCTTAAACCCATCTATTTCATGCCTTGTTTATAATTATTAACTAGTTATCACTTACTGGATGATATTTAGATCAAGAACGCAATCGTTTGACTGATAAGAAAAATCTAGTTTAGAGAGATTCCTGTTTGACTTTCCTGTCTCTCCATCTATTCTGTTTTTGGAAGACTTTTAAAGTACAGAAGTAATGGATCACTGTCACCAACACTGACGAAGAACAGATTACCATCACTGGGTGTTACCCTGGAACACCTGAACAAGAAGAACAACTAAGGGTGAGAACATCGAGTCTGGCAGACACCATACAGGAAGATACCCAGGGAGGTGAACTGCCAGAGTGCTTGCTATAACTTCAGCAAGCAGATCTAAATCCTCCCTTGAAGTAGCTATACACAAACACACACACACACACACACACACACACACACACACACACACACACACACACACACACACAACTCCCAACTCTTTTCAGATGATACATGGAACCCAGACTCACCTGTCGATACCCAGGGTCTGGATAGTACATCAGACCGTCGTACAAAGCCCAGCAGCACCAGCAGACACTTTCAGATTTCTGGCAGAGAGCTGAGAGCTCACGGAGACCAGAAATCACAGACGGCATCAGAAATTCAAGTGGCACTCTGACGACAACAGCGAAGGAGAAAGATTGGTTCTGGAGAGAGCTTTCATTGAAATGGAGCCTTACTTGGTCAAGAGACGTAGTGTTTCACTCTGTGTAGAGCTTTATCAAGTCATGTTTCACTCTGTGTAGAGCTGTATCAAGTCATGTTTCACTCTGTGTAGAGCTTTATCAAGTCATGTTTCACTCTGTGCAGAGCTTTATCAAGTCATGTTTCACTCTGTGTAGAGCTTTATCAAGTCATGTTTCACTCTGTGCAGAGCTTTATCAAGTCATGTTTCACTCTGTGCAGAGCTTTATCAAGTCATGTTTCACTCTGTGTAGAGCTTTATCAAGTCATGTTTCACTCTGTGCAGAGCTTTATCAAGTCATGTTTCACTCTGTGCAGAGCTTTATCAAGTCATGTTTCACTCTGCGTAGAGCTTTATCAAGTCATGTTTGACTCTCTAAAGAGCTCTATCAAGTTACATTTAGCTCTATAAACATCTTTTTCAAGCCGTGATAAAGCTCTACTCAGAAAGCAATTTGGTCACAGAGAAAGCTCCTTCAACACCTTTTTTTTTTCTTCACATTAAATTTTGTGATTAATATCAAGACTTGTGTAGAAATCTCACTGTGACCCCGTCACTGTGACCCCGTCACTGTGACCCCGTCACTGTGACCCCGTAACTGTGACCCCGTAACTGTGGCCCCGTCACTGTGACCCCGTAACTGTGACCCCGTAACTGTGACCCCGTAACTGTGACCCCGTCACTGTGACCCCGTCATTGTGACCCCGTAACTGTGACCCCGTAACTGTGGCCCCGTCACTGTGACCCCGTCACTGTGACTCCTTCACTGTGTCACTATCGTGAGTGGTACTACTCGTAGTGTACTGCCTACATTGTGTACTGTGTCCGCAACACCACCTCCACACACACAGACTCCACCAGCACCACCTCCACCAACACCACCTCCACCAGCACCACCTCCACCAACACCACCTCCACCAACACCACCTCCACCAACACCACCTCCACCAACACCACCTCCACCAACACCACCTCCACCAACACCACCTCCACCAACACCACCTCCACCAGCACCACCTCCACCAACACCACCTCCACCAACACCACCTCCACCAACACCACCTCCACCAACACCACCTCCACCAACACAGACTCCACCAACACCACCTCCACCAACACCACCTCCACCAACACAGACTCCACCAACACCACCTCCACCAACACCACCTCCACCAACACAGACTCCACCAACACCACCTCCACCAACACCACCTCCACCAACACCACCTCCACCAACACAGACTCCACCAGCACCACCTCCACCAACACCACCTCCACCAACACAGACTCCACCAACACCACCTCCACCAACACCACCTCCACCAACACAGACTCCACCAACACCACCTCCACCAACACCACCTCCACCAACACAGACTCCACCAACACCACCTCCACCAACACCACCTCCACCAACACCACCTCCACCAACACCACCTCCACCAACACCACCTCCACCAACACCACCTCCACCAACACAGCCTCCACCAACACAGCCTCCACCAACACCACATCCACCAACACCACCTCAACGAACACCACCTCCACCAACACCACCTCCACCAACACCACCTCCACCAACACCACTTCCACCAACACCACCTCCACCAACACCACCTCCACCAACACCACATCCACCAACACCACCATCCACCAACACCACCTCCACCAACACCACCTCCACCAACACCACCTCCACCAACACAGCCTCCACCAACACAGCCTCCACCAACACCACATCCACCAACACCACCTCAACGAACACCACCTCCACCAACACCACCTCCACCAACACCACCTCCACCAACACCACTTCCACCAACACCACCTCCACCAACACCACCTCCACCAACACCCCCTCCACCAACACAGCCTCCACCAACACAGCCTCCACCAACACCACATCCACCAACACCACCTCAACGAACACCACCTCCACCACACACCACCTCCACCAACACCACCTCCACCAACACCACTTCCACCAACACCACCCTCCACCAACACCACCTCCACCAACACCACATCCACCAACACCACCATCCACCAACACCACCTCCACCAACACCACATCCACCAACACCACCATCCACCAACACCACCTCCACCAACACCACATCCACCAACACCACCATCCACCAACACCACATCCACCAACACCACCTCCACCAACACCACCTCCAACACCACCTCCACCAACACCACCTCCACCAACACCACCCCCACCAACACCACCTCCACCAACACCACCTCCAACACCACCTCCACCAACACCACCATCCACCAACACCACATCCACTAACACCACCACCCACCAACACCACCATCCACCAACACCACCATCCACCAACACCACCTCCACCAACACCACATCCACCAACACCACCTCCACCAACACCACCTCCACCAACACCACTGTAAAACTTCCTTTCTGGGCACTCACTATCTCTCCTGGACGTCACTTCCTAGTGAGAAATAATATCTCTCATGGGTGGTCACTATCTCTTATGCAGATCTATCCCAATTAACATATTTATTCAACAAATTATTCCCAACAGCAAAGCGAAGGCAGTTTTTTTCACTCCACTGAATAAAAATTTCACGACCTTACACACACACACACACACACACACACACACACACACACACACACACACACACACACACACACACACACACACACACACACACACACACACACACACACACACACACACACACACATACACACTCACGATACTGTACCTCGAAGCTGATTTGACCATGATTATTCTGCTTGAAGGTATTAAAGACATAGTGAGCGTATTGCTTGGCATCTGCAAAGAGAAAATACATGTCAGTATCTACTGAGAGAGAGAGAGAGAGAGAGTCTTTAACACAGGAGGGATGTGGTTGACCTTACTGTTATGTTCAAGGCTAATATTGTCAAAGTACCACACTAGGAACCACTCTGAGTACAGCGTGAAGCAAGCTTCTATACCACAAGACGGGCAGCCAGCAGCATCTTCACTCTGGTTGTACTCTTCTCCAGAACATCACTCCATCTGAGATCATACATACCCAGGATGACTCGAGTATGGAACACATTCGTACAGCATAATGATGTCAACGAGATAAAGTCAGTTGATCAACTGAAAATGCTGGCCCACAGATGGCTCCAACTTCATCCTGTTCCCTACTTGTATGTCTCATGACAATAAAAATGCTTTCAAATGAGCTGATGTAGGTAACAGCTCTTAGCTTGCCAATAAAGTTAGGAATCCTTAACCTGTAAATAACTTGTTAATAAAGTTAGGAATCCTTAACCTAACCTTGTTAAATCCTGTGTAAAGTAAGAGAGTGAGAGTGAGAGAGAGAGAGAGAGAGAGAGAGAGAGAGAGAGAGACAGAGAGAGAGAGAGAGAGAGAGACAGAGACAGAGAGTAAATGAGTTAGTGAGTGAGAGAGAGTGGAGGAGTATAAAGGGATTTTGCTATACAAAATATTTGTGAAACAGATATAGTTAATGGAAATAGTAATACTTTTGCCTACCCCATTATTATTATTATTGTTATTATTATTATTATTATTATTATTATTATTATTATTATTATTATATGGGGAACACTAAATCCCTACCAGTCATAGGGCACTTGGGGGATGGAAGGTAATCTGGTCTGATTCGAGGAAAGAGTAGCACGAATCTAACTCATGGGAACAAGAGCCCTTGACGAGTATCAAGGCGTATTCTTGCCTTTAGTGGTATGCACTCGTGAACTCTGGAGCACCTTGCATGTTTCACTCTGAGTAGAACTTTGTCAAGTTAAGTTTAACACTGTGTAGAGATTTATCAAGTCATGTTTCACTCTGTGTAGAGATTTAACAAGAAATGTTTCACTCTGCGTAGAGCTTTGTCAAGTCATGTTTCACTCTGTGTAGAGCTTCATGTCATTTTTCGCTCTGTGTAGGGCTCCGTGACTGGCAGAATCATACGTCTTTCAGAAATGAATATTTGGCAGCGATTTTTAATGCTGGCAACAGTGCACACCTGACAGAAACCATACGTCTGGCAGTAGTGAATGTCTGGCAGCGCTGCACGCCTGGCAGAAAACATTCATCTGGCAGCTATGAATGTCTGGCAGCTCTGTTAAGTCTCGCATAGTCGTACATTTGGCAGAGAGGTGGACGTCGAAGTCTGTGTCGTTAACGCAATGGCAGGTCGCCTTTAGTCCTTACAGATGAGACGCAGTTTTTGTGAGAATTCTGTAAATACGAAATAGCGTTCATCGTTAATCTATACAAAAGGTTTTTGCCACGATACGCTCTCTCGCACACACACACACACATACACACTCACACACACACACACACACACACACACACACACACACACACACACACACCACACACACACACACACACACACACACACACACACACACACACATACACAGGGAAGTAGAGAAGGGAGAGAGAGTCAAACAGACAGATATATCGTAATAACGTACATTACTGTAAAAATCATTAAAACGACTCGGAAATATAATAGTTTGCTCACCTCCTTGAGGGAAGAACTGGTCAAAGATGCTCTTGAAGCCTTCCTCGTCCACTAAACCCGTAGGGCACTCCTGTGGGAAGTCAAGAAACATATATATATATGGATTACAGAAACGTAATGAACACTTGTCAATGCTCAGTAATAACCCACATGAAGACAGAAACTCAGGAGATTGATTGATCTGTATATCTGAACCTCCTTCTGGGATCCTCTTCAGCAGATACCCAAGTATAAGGCGAACGTGAATTTATAGGTAAAGTTGCACTTCTTGCTTGACACTGTCCTCTCATGTCCTCGCATGGGAGGACAGTATCAGGCGAGTGCGTGGGAGGACAGTGTTAAATGAGTGAGTTGGAGAACAGGTCAAGAAGGTAGTGTGAGAGAAGACAGGTCCTGAAGTTAAGCTTAAGGTTTGTACTGCGTAATTTTTGACGTTGTGCTGGCATTGTGCTAGGTTGGGCGCTGCTATGTTTCTTGAGGGTGAATTATGAAATGACGTCTGTCCTTGTGAGATGTTTAAACTGGGAGTGGTAGCTGTGAAGACAGATTCTATGATCTTATGTTCGTAGCTGCAGAGTGATTTGTGTTTGATGGTGGGAGCTTCCCTATGTATGCTTGGTTGCAGGCTTTACATGGTATCTGATTGACTCCTGGTGTGTCTTGCGTAGCTGAATGCTTGTTAGAACACACGAATGGAGGAGCACTGCAGCAGGCCTACTGGCCCAAATTAGACATGACCTTCTCTAAATCAATCATCCCCGCCCACCCACTTGTCCAACTTTTTCCCAAAGCTTCCCAAGAATTGGAAAAGAGATTTCCCAGTTTGGGAAATCTCTTTTACAATTCTGATAGTCACTGTTGAGACGACTGAATGTGGTGAATGTGGTAGAAATTGTATCTGAGGTGGTCAGTCCCTCAGCCTGGCTGAGGGACTGACCACCTCAGAACTACGTCTCCAAGGGTGATGGACTGATTACATCGTCTTAATCAAATCTCTACTGCTTCTACTTACTGTTCTGTACTCGACTGAAGAAGCCTACTGTGTAGGCGAAACGTTTCGGAATAAAGATACCTAACTGTTGCACATATAGGCAAATCAAAAGAGGAGAGGGGCAATTAAGAAATCGATATATTCAGTTAAAGAGAGAAATAAAAAAGGGAATTAGAAAAGCAAAAAGAGATTATGAGGTTAAAGTTGCAAGAGAATCGAAGACTAACCCAAAAGGATTCTTTCAGGTATACAGAAGTAAGATCAGGGACAAGATAGGCCCACTCAAAAGTTCCTCGGGTCAGCTCACTGACAGTGATAAGGAAATGTGTAGAATTTTTAACACATGCTTCCTCTCAGTTTTTACACAGGAGGATACCAGCGATATTCCAGTAATGATAAATTATGTAGAACAGGACGATAATAAACTGCACGATTAGGGTCACAAGTGACATGGTCCTTAGGCAAATAGATAAATTAAAACCTAACAAATCCCCAGGCCCTGATGAACTGTATGCAAGGGTTCTAAAGGAATGTAAAGACCTTTGGCTAATCTTTTCAACATATCACTACAAACTGGCATGGTGCCAGATAAGTGGAAAATGGCAAATGTGATACCTATTTTTAAAGCAGGTGACAGGTCCTTAGCTTCAAACTATAGACCAATAAGCCTAACCTCCATAGTGGGAAAATTTATGGAATCAATAATTGCCGAGGCAGTTCGTAGCCACCTTGAAAAGCATAAATTAATCAACGAATCTCAGCATGGTTTTACAAAGGGGCGTTCCTGCCTTACGAATTTATTAACTTTTTTCACTAAGGTATTTGAGGAGGTAGATCATGGTAATGAATATGATATTGTGTATATGGACTTCAGTAAGGCTTTTGACAGGGTCCCACATCAGAGACTATTAAGGAAAATTAAGGCACATGGAATAGGAGGAGAAATTTTTTCCTGGATAGAGGCATGGTTGACAAATAGGCAGCAGAGAGTTTGCATAAATGGGGAGAAATCAGAGTGGGGAAGCGTCACGAGCGGTGTTCCACAGGGGTCAGTGTTGGGCCCCCTGCTGTTCACAATATACATAAACGACATAGATGAGGGCATAAAGAGCGACATCGGCAAGTTTGCCGATGACACCAAAATAGGCCGTCGAATTCATTCTGACGAGGACATTAGAGCACTCCAGGAAGATTTGAATAGACTGATGCAGTGGTCGGAGAAGTGGCAGATGCAGTTTATTATAGACAAATGCAAAGTTCTAAATGTTGGACAGGACAATAACCATGCCACATATAAACTAAATAATGTAGATCTTAATATTACGGATTGCGAAAAAGATTTAGGAGTTTTGGTTAGCAGTAATCTGAAACCAAGACAACAGTGCATAAGTGTTCGCAATAAAGCTAATAGAATCCTTGGCTTCATATCAAGAAGCATAAATAATAAGAGTCCTCAGGTTGTTCTTCAACTCTATACATCCTTGGTTAGGCCTCATTTAGATTATGCTGCACAGTTTTGGTCACCGTATTACAGAATGGATATAAATGCTCTGGAAAATGTACAAAGGAGGATGACAAA